ACTAATCTAAAATCTGTACTACAATAAATTATGTTGGGAAAACTGAGAATAAATTTAAGCAGTTGTTGCATGCACAAAGTTGTGGAGCCTTTGTGGATCGCGATTTTCATGGTTGTAAACCGACCTTAACTGCCGAATTAATGCTGTGATCTCGACACCATTTTAGGTCATAAATAAGAGCGGTATCACGTATAAGGGACAGCCATGGCATAAGGAATGCTTTCTCTGCGCTAATTGCGGTAGCCAACTTGCAGGCCAGAAATTCACCTCCAAAGATGACAAAATTTACTGCGCTGACTGCTACTCTGAGCTCTTTGCAAAGCGCTGTTCTGCCTGCTCGAAGCCTATTTCTGGTACGTACTTTTCTGGAAATGAAAATTAGATAACAAGAACATAATCTCCAGTCTTTTTTGCTATGCTGCTTTCCTCCCCACTTTAAGCATTTCCATTGCTTTCTGCCTAGTTCAAGCATAAGTGAGATCGTTGAAAACCGACCACTGAGTGAAATTTTCCCCTGCAAAACCACTCACGCCATTCGAGTGCTCGATGGTAGTTTTGGAATGCAATGAAATCATGCCTGATAACTGAAGTTCGAGTTTAAATGCGTGGTAGGTACGATGAGAAGTTGAAGTATGCACATGTCGAGAAACTTTTTGCAGAGTCGAAAGATAACAAAGGGAACTCATTTTCATTACAATCTAAAGTAGCTCATATGTTAGCCACTAGCAATTAAACATTTATGAGATTTAAACAAAAGAGAAACTAAACGTGCGTGAAAAGACTTTCATTAATAATTGCAAGTTATTTTGAAGATTACATGAACGTTTGCGAAACGCGTACTTAAATTGATCCGGAGTCAACCGAAACCTCCAATTTAGCTTGCCTACTTCTGTGGTGTTTCAATTAAAGGCCACAATAAGTGAATACGGATTGGCGTGCTTGAAGGACAAGGATGTGAATAGCGCAAACAAGCTTGATTCTGCTTGAAGCATTCGAATAACGTACATACTTTGTCTGAAGAAGCATTGAGAAAGTTGAAAACACGCTAGTGTATCTTACAGTTACGCATGCAAAGACGAATTGGGCATTTACCCGTACTTTACGGTCTTTTTACATTCCTTGCCCTTCCGAAACAAGTAGCTATTCTCCCAACAGTAAGTTGTTTTGCCTATCAAATTTATTGCTGTTTAAACGCCTCTGTCATACAAACTGCAATGTTAAGAGTGCTTTCAATGCAACTGTGATATTAGCACGGAATGACGGTAATAATCGCGAAACAATTGTATAACACCTCCATTTCAATGATGCAAAATTCAACTTGATATTAAAAAAATCAAGAAATGAATTGAGAATAAGCCCAGAGGGAAAATAAAAGCTCAGATCCTCCACTTCGTCGAAAATGATTGGATAGAAATAATGCCTGCTAAATCCAGGCTTCCAAAAGCAAAGAGAGAAGTCCATGTGGTAGTCCTAAGATGAATCGACAAGGGTGTTGGATGACGAGGTCTGACGTTCAGCTGCGCAATGAACAATACCGTAAATTCATAATGCTTGAACACTAGCTGAGTCCTAGATATGACTGGATCGAAATCCACGCTTCACTAACCGCATAACCTCACCATTGGAACTTTTAAGCTAAAAAAATAGTAACCTCATGAAAAATTATGCCCATAGATTCGAGTCATTACTTTTTGGGTAACTTAGACCCTTCAAGTCTAGTATTTGCCTTCCACTGGCTCGTTCTACTTCCTGCGACTTGCGTGGAGGAATGGATACTGGAATGGCATGCCCACGCCCTATGTTTTCAACGCGGTGGCTGCGTGATGGAATGAAGTCACACTGGTAAATAAAAACCTCTTGGTGGCGTGTCAACAACCTCGTGAAATATGAGAATTATCACGAAATGTGCAGTCACGAAACCCACTGTGCTGTCCAAAGTCTGCGTAATTGCAAAAATGCAGGACTTGAAGAAAGAGAACGATTAATCGGTACTAACTTTTAAGTTCTTATCGATGTGGCAGTTAGTGAGCTAAAAACACACCAAGATCGGCTCAAACCATCCGCTTCAAATCCTTCTCAAGACCGATATGGCTTGTTTATTTTCCAAGTAGGCAGCAAACGATGTGTTTTCACAGATGAGATAGACGCGGATGTTTTGTTAACCATGCCGAGGTAAAGTAGCTTTGCAACTACTTCCCACTTCCCGTGCTTTTCGCGGTGTTGCAGCATGCGTTCGGACTAAAGGTAGACAGGTGCAATTGGCTGCCGTTTTCAAATTATTTCATTTTAGCTATTTTAATACTTGGTGATTTCCGTTTGTTGGTAAGCAATGTGGTAAATTAGTTTTTAGGCTTGAAGCAGCGCTATTTTGACTTGTAACTATGCCATCAAATCCAACTTGAACGATAATCTGAAGAAATTATTATGTAACGCAAGGACTATGAACAGGCACCTACGAATAGCTTTTTAAGATCATAATAAGGGTCGTTATTTTTTATCTTTCCGCCCATATGCAGAGATTGGCTATTTGCAAGATAAACCGGGAAATATTGACAAAAAAACTAACCAGGACGATTCCAAGAACGAAATTTAAAAAATTGTGGTGAGCAAGATCCAAAACGATTTGCTGAATATAGTGTATTACCGGTAATATTTATTTGGTCGTTGTGCCAGGGCGATGGCGATACACACTTTAAAACGATTTCGCATATCAGGTTGACAGATCTGACCATGAGCGAATGCAACTTCTAAGGATATGTGCAGATAACTTGGTGCCCACATTTAGTTGCAGCATACTTGCGAAGGAAAAATTGTGGTCCTGTAGATCCTATGCTTGAAAGAACTTAAGACACTTTAAATGAGATGAATCCTTTTTACACGCAACTACTTCAAGACCAAAACTTTTCGCAAGGCATTAATTACATGTTTC